TGTTATGATGGGACAAAGATCTGTAACAGTATAAAAAGAGAAGTAAACTGTTGCTGAACTCCTAGAAATTCTAGAATTTCGATTTTTCTAGAAATTAAACCAATTTTGACCTTCTACTTCTCGAAACCCTCAATCAGTTTTTGTAGATTTGCATTCTCTATACCTTGCTATAAATAGGCCTCAAAAACTTCAGGTTTACTTCATCAGCCTAATTTGAGATATAAAATCCTTATCTGTTTTGTTCATGCTGAAAACATCGTAGGTCTCATGGCGGCACTTCACAGCCCGTGTCCAAACGTTGCTGCATTCATGGATACCTCTTTTGCTCAACTAACTTTACCAAATCATAATGCCCCGCAGCTTCATTCGCTGCTACAAGCGTTTCAACTATATACTGAAATGACTGGTGGTGTCCTCAGGTAGGCTAAGGCGCTCAGAAAGTACGTGGCCTTGACATCAATGACTTCTTCGATAATGGAAAAATTATCTATTTGATATTGAATCACCCAAGTTGACATGTCTTCCTGTAGCCTAAGTTTGTAAGCTCTTCTCAGGATTTTGGTGAAAGGTTTGGGGTCTTTCATAAAATTCCAGATCAATGCGGTTCTTAATTATGAGTGTTATTGTTTAGGATGATCTACATACTTGCTGGAAACCCAATTTATTCAAAAATTTTACCCCCTTTGTTTTTTGACCTTGTATTAGCAATCTTGAGTCATTTTACATTGATGACACTACTACTTAGCACACACGTAAATGGAAACTAGAAGGCAAACTATTGATTTACTATGTAATTATTTTTTACAAAAATAAATTAGAAGCTCAAGTACTCAAAACTCAGCTAATTCATTGTTTTGTCTCCACCAAGCCTGTAAGTTATTCGAGGAATGACTATAGTCAGATTAATTTGTTTGATGGTTAGCTTCAACGATTTCTATAATGACAAATCGAATGTAGCCTTCAATCCATCGGTCAATATTAAGTGTGAACAAGTCTTGCTTTCTTTCAATGCCCACAGTATCTACCAAATCACGGCTAAATAATGTCTCTAGTGTAAATAAGAGCCTCGACCAGAGAGTGGGAACAAAGCGGTGCGTTTAGACGATCTGTAATGCGCGAAGGGTAATTACTAATGCGAGATGTGCAATCACTGATACGCGACTATATGATTATAAATGCACGATTTTCGATTACTGAAACGCGAACATACGAATAGCAAAGTGCACTGCGAAAATTGTAATGCGCAACCTATTGATTAAAAGTGTGGACTTAAAAAATTAGTAGGCTTAGAATAGCAATAGAGTTTGCGAACTAAGGACCTATATACATATGCTCTGCATTTTACCGTCTAGAGCTCAGCTGTCTTTTACTTAAGGTTATGACCTCATGCATTGTTTTATCAAACGGATACTCCGACTACGCCTTCTCCTTAGACGCCGCCTCAACACTGATTGCCCGCATCAAGAAGTTCCAAGGAACAACTTCCACGCATGGAGGTTCAAAACGCAGACGGTTTTGGAAGAGCACAACCTGCATAAAGTCACAAATGGAGAGGTCAAGCTTTAGCACTGCGACAACGCAATGAATCAATCGACGTACAAGAGAAAGTTGAGCAAGGAACTTATGATCATTTGTCTCGCGATAGAAGATTCGCAGCTGCCACTGGTCCGTTCGGCGATCGGAGCGTGCGATGCGTAGTAAAGACTGGAAGGGCACTACAAGAAGAGTAGTACGATGATCAAGCTATTTCTTTTTTGACGCTTCCTTACGACCTTAATGGATGAAGGCGATGATGTGCTTGGAATCATCAACAAGCTCAAGAATCTGGCTAAGCAACTCCACGTGATCGGCGCTCCATTCAGTGAGGACGACTGGTGATCACGCTTCTTGGTAGCCTAAGCGAGTCTTACCAGTTCCTAATTAGGCGTTGGAGTTGCATGCCTACTCGGTGTCGTGAAAACTCGTGACGTATCGACTGATGCATGTAGATATGGAGCGCAAGGAACAAGGTGGCGTTGTGAACGGAGCCTCACAAGGTCAAGGTCAAGCATTCATGACAAGTGATCTAAGCAAGCGAAAAGGAGTAGGGTTTGTGCTGAAGGCCAGTGTATGTCACTACTGTGGCGAGCAAATGTTTGGATTGCCAAGTAATCAGTAAGGATCCGTGACAATGCGAAACAACGGAGGCTGCAAAGAGAAACTCTGGCGTATCCCTGATTTCAGTTGATAAAGACGACATCAAGATGACTGAAGAGTGGCTGTTCGACACGAGTGAAACTCAGAACATGACGTACTCAATATAGTAAGATATTATCACAAGATCTCTCCTGTGGATGTGCATTTGGCGGATGAAGGCGTGGTACAAGCAGTGGGAAAGGGAGACATCATCATTTCAATAAGTAACAAACACGACAGCAAGAATGATTTGCTTACTGGCGTGTGGCGACTTTTTGAGTTGACGCGCAGCCTGTTCTCTGCGGGGCGTTTTACGAATGACTTTGGCCCCTTCACATTTCGAAGTGATGGATGCTTTGCTCAGGCGAAAAGTGTTAAGTGACAGCTGGATAAGCTAATGGAAAAGGGTATATTCAAGTTATGCATGATCCCGCTCATGCCAGACGAGGCAAATGTTTCAAGTATTACCAGTTTCATTGGGACCACTAGTTCGTACCTCAGGTATCTCTGACTTGACATATTGATCATGGCGGTCTGGACTCCGTCGTCAAGAAAGATTTAGGTGCCGTCATCGACCTTAAGTATGCGCAGTAGTGGGAGACGTGTCAAGGGTGTGCTCTTGGCAAAAAAAACGAGTTAGCTTTATGTCAAAGTCTCTATAGTGTGCAAAAAAGATGCTGAAAGTCATCCACAGCATGTCGGTGATACCATGCAAACAGCTACATACGGCGACAGCAAGTACTTTGCCACTTTCACTGATGAGTATTCACGCTTTTGTGTGGTGCTATTTCTTAAGGACCAGTCTGAAGTGGCTGCTAAGTTCGCCGATTTTGTCAAATTTATAGCGACTCGGAATGGCAACTTCGTCAAGCTACTTCGCAGTTACAACGGCGGAGAGTACAAGTCGTGTGATGTGACCAAGCTATTCAGCAGTCGTGGCATTATACAACATTCATGCCTCACTACACACCTCAAATCAACGGAGTTGCTGACCGGATGAACAGGACTTTGGTGGAAGCGCTCGCTTCGTGTTGGAGTATGCCGGATTGTCCAAGAAGTATTAGGGCAAAATGGTCGTAACCGCTACATTTCTATTTGAAATTGATGCCCAGCATGTGCCACTAGTCAAAATACATTTCCACATCAAGTCTTGACTGGCACAAAACCACTACTTTCGAATCTAAAATGCTCGGTTGTCACGCATAGGTAACGGTGATAAGGTAAAAGCGCATTAAGTTTGATGCGCAGTTAATGTATTGCCGCTTCATAGGATACTTTAAGCACGAGGAAGCGTATCACTTGAAAGATACCAAAAGCCGTCGTATACTAGTGAGTCGCGACGCGACATTATAATGAGTCGTCCTCGAAGGTGGGAGACGCACACAAGGAGAAGCAGAAGATTTCATGGACATTAAAAAAGATGAGAGTACAATTCATTACCTTCCTTCCGTACCAATTAACACCGACGAATAAGACGATGCGCTAAGCCAAGATATGGTCCCGGCCGTAGGCGCCATGCGCAAAACCGCTCGTTGGAACAAGCAGTAGAGAGTTGGATTTTAAGCGACAGAGTCGGCGAATTTTTATCGAAAACACATCAGCGATGGCACAAGTCGAGGACCACTTAAATGCAGCCTGCTTCGTGGTTCATTGGGACAAATTCCAACAATGTTCAAGCTGGCGATGGAATCCAGCAACTCGGTCAATTGGAAGGAAGTGTACAAATCGGATATCGACTTCATTGCAAAAATAGGACATGGACGTTGGTGCAATAACTCAAGGTTCGGAAGACCATCGGATGCAGAAAGTTAATTCGCATTAAGAAGAATCAAAATGGGAAGATCGAGCGTTTTAAAGTGCGTCTCTCTCGGAGACACACGCTACCCCATGATAGTTTGGAGAGCGTCTTACCTTCTCCTCCACCTCCTTTGGGGGACTCTCGTGGTGGCCAGCGCTATCTGGTTAAGCGGCTGTTGAACCAACGCGACGTGAACGGACGTCGGACGAGTTATCTCGTCCGGTGGCGCGGATATCCTCCGTCCTGGGATACTTGGGAGCCCCGCTCCCAACTAATGGTTGACGTACTGGGCCTGGTTGAGCAGTACGACGCGGCACATCCTGTGCCGCAGAAGGACCGCCGGATAAAGTCTTCCCAGCACGGTCGTAAAGGGATTTCAGATTGTCAATCCCTTCGTCCATCTCAGTAGAGATACGTACGCGCCACCACGGGCTTGTAAGGAGGTAAGCCTCCATAGGTGCGCGCGCAGAGTTGTTTACACAACAAGGGCCCGGGTCTCCCCAGGAAAGACAGGGTAATCCACCCTCCTTGACAGACGATGCAGCTTATAGCGTGCACCTGTCGGGGTTCTCTTCTCAAACTTATTACGAGCTTTGATAAGTTTGTCGTCCTAAACGTCACGACCTACATTCTCAAGGTTATGGATGTAAGCGTTCCACGCTTGAAGCATTGAGGGACCATCACGTTTGTGATTCCCACTGTACCATCGATGCTTAACGAAATCATCGATGAAGAACTCATTCTCAGCGCGATAGTCTTTCGCATCAGGGTCAAGGTGATGGATCCTTGACGAATCGAACAATCGTGTTCGATAACGATCACTTGTCGTCGCCGACAAGCGATCCATGACTGACTTTAAAGACAGCCATGCCTTATTTTCGGGAGCGAGACGCAACACGCTGCGGTCCCGCTCTTCCTGCGACGTGCCGACAGAAGTACTGGCACCTCGTTATGAAGTGGTGTCAATAAGAGAACCGACACCACTCTATGCGCCCGAGTCTTGCGGTCTCGAGCGCCTTCACTTTGGCTATGGTTCGTCTGACGAAATAGACGAACCAAAGATGCTACGACGCGTAGCATCATCCATGCCACGCTTGGCAGGCGGCTTGGTTTCAACCGCCTTCGATAAGGATCCGTCTTCCGTATCAGGAGAGTATGAGACACCGAGCTCATACTCTGTGAAGACATGAGTGTCTTCACTACGAGCGTCTGCATCATCAGGTGATACAGACTGAGACGCTTTAGCAACCGATGACACATCGGCTGCAGCGGTTTCTGCTTCGGCATCCGCACAGAGACGTGCAGACGCACTCTCAGCGGCCTTGCTCGCGCACCGCATTGACTTGTTAACCATGCGATGAAAATGGTGCACTGCGGACTTGGACCAACAAGTGCTAACCCTGTCCCAAATGATTTGGGACGAGTATCCATTTAGTCAATCAGTCACTAAAGTGACTGATGGTTAAGGGGGGGTGATGTAACGGGGTGAATCGTTACATAACAATTTATAAGAAATTGTTAATAGAATATAACTATAAGAGTTATATTCTCAGAATATTGTCATAAGGACAAATATTCTGCAGCACTTACGAGTAGTTCCTAATTGGTTGATATAGGCCATTATATCAACCAACGAAGACGCGCCACGACAGACGCACGCAATGAGTGGTGAGCAGATAGTTGATATACACATTTGTATTCAGACATAGTTAGATGAAGATAAATAGTGATTTATTGCAGACATTAACTATTATAAATACAGTCCTACTTTTTACTTTAACCAAGTACTCGCTTCTTCTTACCGTCTTCCTCTGCACGTACGAGTGTACGTGAAGTTACGAGGCACCGCCTTATTCTGTCATCAGAATCAGTAGCTTGTACTGTCATCAGTACAAGCTTCAGGGTGCCCCGTTACAATCAATTTTTGTCCGCTGTATTTGTCGTCATGACCTCATCAATAAATGGTGCGTCACAAGCCCGCCTATTATGATATGCTTTACGTATTTCCATTAGGTCACGTTTGAGGTCCTATGACGTTGCTGAATCGGCTTGAGCATCTGGCTAAACAATGGCTAGAACAACTGTAACATCATATGCCACGTCTTCTTATAAGCAGCAGAAGTAGCGAGTCATATGGAGATTATCACTTGAACGGGCGAGCATTTCTCGTGTCTTATATCTTACTCGCTAATGAAGAGAACATAGTACAATCCCGATACAATTTGCGATGTTCGGCGAAACTGCGACTCAGATACAGAGGGCGTCTCGAATAGAGTCTCTTATAGAAAGGGGTGAGTATGATCTATTTTTTGAGTTGCCACTGCATTATTTTGCTGCAGTGGCGCACCTTCATGAGAACAAGAATATCGTTTTTTTTATTGTACGAAAGTTCAATTATAATTGCTGCTAACGATACCAAAAGAGCGCTTGGTTCCAATCGTCAGTTACTTCGCAAATTAATCGCTAGCTGCTACTGTTTTATCCTCATGCGTATTTTCACTCCATTACTCGTTGCTACATCAGCCTCCCTGCCTCGCGGCCACAGCTCCTTGAAGAGTGCGAGTACTGAGACGTCCAGATCCTAAGAACTAGCTGTCGTCCACCCATCATCCGATAGCCACATCAGAGTCACTCCCAACAAGCTCTTGAGAGTTGGCAAAATGATCGATGAAAGCGAAAACACTCGAGCGGCTCACCACAGAGATCGGTCAAATTGCCGTTTCTGTATTGGTGTCGTATAATAAACTCATCTCGTCGACGCTTTCGAAGCGTTCCGAAAGATGCAATCATGGCGTGACGTAGAATCATCGACTATACTGGAGAGCCCAGAGACGACGCAGCTGCAAAAACTCTTTGCGGAATACAAAGTATCATTCCGATTCCGATGCTGTGTACGGAAAACTCAGCCTAGCACGACAGCTACAGCAAATGCGAACTGATGAATGTTTAACGGTGAAAAGAGCTAGGGGACAAGCTCCTGACGATATTAATGAACCTTTGGTCCAGCAAGAAACTGACTGCTAAGAACCTACTACGAAAACGATACGTGGGAGACATGTTGCAGTCCTTGCCTTCAATTGCCACGCTTAAGAGTCTTTTTGACGAGGCACTGAAAGCCTATTGTCATCATGTCGATAAAGAAAACGGCGTTAACCTCTATATTGACACCATGATGAAGGCTTTTTTTGTAATAAACTTGAGCAAAATTTGTGCTTCAGCGATCCAGAAAAGAGGATCTACTTCGTGAAGTCAACCATCTTCGTGCTTGGTTAAGTAAGGGTGATGCTTCGTCAGGAGGTGATTCGCGAAGCTTGGCGTCAAGGCCTTAATATTGGGAGCTACAGATAGATTCTGCTTGCGGGTACCTGACTGTATTCGTTAAATGAGTACATTGGTAAGTACAACACTATCAATGCTCCATTCGACGAGCCCTGTTGATGAGATATGCCAAAGAGTTGACGGCCCTGACGCGTTCACCGATTTATTTGCGATAGAACCACAACCTGTGAAAACGACGGCTGCAGTCAAGTTACTCAGCTTTGCTGCATCTGGTAAACAGACAATATACTCAGCTTTGCTGCATCTGAGGACAGACGATATTCTCAGCTTTGCTGCATCTGGTGGACAAACAAGTTGATTTACACACGCGCATTTCTCCAGTGGAAAGCGTACTGTGTCTTGCCGGCGTGGTGCAAGATTCAACTTGTATGGGATCGCACGGCACCGATCGCGCACAAAATACAGCTTAATTGACTTTTTTATTGCTCAAGATGGTACGGCCACAACTAAAAAAAAAATATTTTTCAGTCGGTGCTATACGCATATTTAGATCCTGTTGACCAAGGAACCGTCTACGAAAGTGATAAAAGTGTGTGTGTGTGTGCAGTGTAATCAGCAGAGGACCAAATGAACCGACTCGTTGAGGAAGCAAAAAAACTGTCAATTACTGGCTAGGTCATTTATTTGCACGAACAGCGGCTAGTGTAGGCGATGCGCTGGGTGCGCCAACAGTCGTCACACGTTGGATTGCACTCTGAGGGCTCGCACTTTTAGCCAAAGTACGTGATTAGCTGCTGACAACGACAGGCCAGATTGTCCTCGCAGTGCTGAGCCATGAGTGGAAGCTTTTATATGCGCGAAAATAGTTCATCTTGGTCATGTTCTTCCAAGGCATGAAGAGGATACTGTGAAACTTGGACACGTCGGCATGAAAAGGATACTGTGAAACTTACCAACGTTGTGCGGACTGTAAAACACGATGCAATAAGAAGAATGCTATATCGCTATCTCGCCTCCTAGTACACGCAATAAGAAGCTGTCCATTCTGCCATGTTCCTCGCATCATATACGGATCAGTTGCCGACCAATCGACATAATAAAAGTCAGCGCTCAGTTTGTAGCCAAAGAGGTAGCCAACCGCATCAATGCAATCTTGCTTCGTCCTCCAGTACACGTAGCTACCGCATCGGGTGGATACATCGTCAAAATGAACTGGTACAGTGCCTCTGAAGCCTTCGCGTTGATGTCCAGTAGTTTGTCGCGCACTTCAATCTAAGCTTCTTTCTGTCAAAGCTCATCGTTGAAAAGTCCCTTGAGATATACTGCGAGCGCTGCGCTCCCCGCATCATTTCGAGTGGTGCATCACTGTTAAGACCACGAGCAGTACGTCTAAGAAAAAGTTGTTCTAACAAACCTAAATGGCCATGTTTTGGTCTAACATCTTGTCCTCACTGTTCCACTGCGATACAAAGTCGACACTACCTCCGTCATCTCGTCCAACTTGACATTATTTGGAAAATCAGCTGCAGCAACTTGACACTTGACGTCGGTTGTCTCAGCTCATTTACGATAAACCTCTTGAGCACCATGACGATTTGACTTGTCAATTCAAGCAGCATCAATGACACGCTTTTGCGCTGTGCACAAGGCCGTTACTTAGTCCTATATCTCGTCACCTAGCGTAAATTAATGGCTAGAAGACGGTCGTCGCCTTCGGCCGGTCCTCATCCATCGCGTTGACCAGTTGAAGATGTAACCATTGAACACCTTTTTATACGCGCAAATAACTGGACGCCAGCCACTTGCCTTGACCTGTGAAACCTTTTTTTATCGATCGTATCGGATCATGAAGGTGACAACGCGTGCTGCAGAGGCTGTGGCTGCAGCCTACACGCGATGGCAGCACTACCATGAGCTCCATCGTGGGCGTGAACCACTGGAAAGTATCGAGCTGGAAACGCAGTTTGAGCTCGTGGCGACCGGTCTTGTTGCCCTGGACGAAAACCAGATTTTCGAGATGTTTCAGGCCGATGCCCAACTGTTTGTTGCCTTATTAACCCCATTCTTGGCACTTGCAGTCGATGATCTGGACTCGTTTCAACAACAGCAACAGCAAATTCAGTTCACGTTCGTGTGTGCTGCCGAGATGCTGAGCAAGCACCTTCAAGGAATTACGTTATCAAATGTGTTGGACGCTCGACGCCTCTTGACTGGTCCGCTGACGACTCAAGTGCTGCTGCCTCTTTTGCAGCATGACCACTTTGTTTGTGTTACACCGTACGACGTTGCGAATGTTAAAAGAATTGGTACTTTCGAGTGGACGGGGCGTAGAACATGATGAAACCGTTCTACTGCAGCTCGTTGGTCAGGTGCAGGAGCGAATATGTGGACATGGAGAGAATGGCAGGATGAATTGCGCTGCGTCGCTTTGTAGTCTGTTAGAAATTCTGCTACAGCTCGATGTTGAGGTTGTCAAGACAAAGTGCGTGGGAGTGTGTGAAGATGCTATAAAGACGTGCGGACAGCGGCCAGATTTCCTGCGAGCAGTCGTACTGCGTATTGTGCCGGCGCTTGTGGACGGTCAAAGAAGTAATGCAGTGGCTGTCAAGAAAAGGTGTGTGGAGCTTCTTCATGCAGTGCTACGCGCCTGGAAGCCGTGCATACGCGGTGAACGTTTTCCACATGAACTGCTGGACGTGGTGTGTGTTATCGTGCCGAAAACTCCACGTGAAGTGATTAGCGATGTTAAGCTGCAAGCACTCGTTTGCTTTGCGTTGCGCCACGAAAGTGCTTTATCGCGGAAGCAGGGGCTGTATATTATCAAAAAAGCCTTGTTACATTGTAAGTTGTTTTCCGAGCAGCGAAAGTTGAGCATGGAGGAAGGAAAGGAATCGGAACCGTGGGTGAACACGTGGCAAAGTTTTGTCACGGCGTCTGAAGTAATCCACATGCACCATGAACAACACCTGATTGAACAAGTGTGGCCACAGGTTGCAGGTCTTCTGATGGATAACTTGATTTTATATGAAGATTCGAGTCCGCAACAGGAAAGTAACGAATGGCCGGTTCGCCTGACTTTTGACTGGATGCAGAGTCTCTTTATACGATTGTTTGCTCATGACAATCCTGGTGTAAAGCGCCTTTTCATCTCGAACTTTATGGAAACCTGTGTGGAAGCATGGCAAACTTGGGAGAAACCGAGCATTTCTCGCAAGAATGTTAATCGACAAGTTTCTTTCGCTTGTGCCCCCGCTTTTGCACGTTTCGTGCTCGACCACTTGTTGCTTGCCTGCAATGATCCAGTACTTTTCAAGCACGCGCATCGTGCTCGCTTTCAGGCCTTAATTGCGGAATTCCTGGTGCTCTTTCTTTCGTTCCAATTTGTAGAAAGCAAGCAGACGTGCGTACTCGATGAGTTTGTTGCTGCGGTTGAAGAAGCTGTATTTGGCGAGGCTGTACAAAGTCACTCACCCGAGGCTCTGCTGAGCATGCTTCAAGTGTTTCAGTCGCCCATGTTAAAGCATGATGCTTCCTCTACGTCTGCAATGATGCTTCTCAGTCCGGCGGCGGTAGACCGATTGCGTTTTATGCTTGATGTACACGTAATGCGATCCTTCTCGCAAGCAACGCGCGCAAGGTTGCTTCGAGTGCTGAGCCACGCGCTTACTGGAGGCTTCATCAATGCGGCCACAATGTCGCTGGCGTCGCTTGCACGCGTTCTCTGTGTGTTCCCCATAAGTTATTTAGTAGCTGACGATGGAGAAGCTATGTTGCGTTTAATGACGTGGATTCAGGCCTCCATGTCTGTTGACAATACGTCGTACTTTTTCGGTGCTCTTGCATCTGCTTTTCAAGAATATTTACTGCCCCAAGTGGCAGGCAGCTCCGACGGAACACTATCGAGTCCAACTCAACTGGCGAGGCTGCTGCTTTTTACAGCAAAATACCCACGTGGAATGAAGACTTGCCGTTTGGATACGGTGGAACCTTCGGAAAATCAGTCTAACACGACAGTGTTGCTTAATACTCCGCTCAGTGCACTGCTGCCCAGCAGTCTAAACTCAGAGCCGGACCAAACCCGACTTGTGCTTTTAGTAGCCAAGTTTGAAGAGCAAGTCCAGGAGCTGCTAAATAGATGCTCTTTTCTACCACCACAAGGCTTCACGCTTTTGTTTGAGCGTGAAGCTTTTTATGCCGACCATTTCAGCTGTTTACATTTGCTTGGCTCGGCTATGGCTATAGTCAGGCGCTGGTTGGACAGAGTGGATGATACAACAGGAGCTGGCAAGCCTGTAGCTGGAGATTACGAAAAGGAAGTTGTAATGGAACTCGTAGCACAGGCTACGTTTGTTCTCTCCCAATTGAGCACCTACAAAATGAGCACAACGGGTGGATCGCACGAAATGGCTGCATTGAATGCGCTTTGCGAGGAGTTGAAAAGAGTATTGGTACCAGCCGTGGACCGAACGGCCTTTGACTTGGCTTTAGCAGCAAAATGCTTGTCCATCATCGGGTGCAACGCTGATGCCGTCGACTCTTTGAGTGCGTTTGAGAGTGATCGTATGCTCCCGCTTTTGCTTGCCATTGACACAAGTCGGCGGTTCAGTGGCAAGCTTGATGCAAAATTTGCCATTAGCTTGGCTACCAACAAGTGGGTGGTGTTGTATGATGTCTTGAAATCTTCGTCATTTCTTGACACGAAACTTCTTCGAAACGTTCATCATGACTGTGTCGACGCGCTACCTAGTGCAGGGATGGACCCTACAGCATTGGTTCCGATGATAAACGTGCTATCGATTACGCTCGCACAACTGGCAGGGCCGCTGTCAAGCTCTAGTGATACCGAACAGCTCAATAGCTTGCTTCAAGATATTTGGACGGCTTACATCGATAGCAAGGCGAAACCCGACGAACTTACGCAAGCCGTTGTCGTTTGTGTGTTTCAGCCTGTGTTCCTGCTTCGCAGCGAGCTGCATAGTTTCATGAAGCACTGGGTTGCAGAGTTTATTCGCTTTGGCTCTCGGCATAGACCTAATGTGATTTTTCATCTAGCTTGCCGCTTGTGCCAAACATGGCGTGCACACCCATCATCTGCCCTACCGTTTGCTGATGAACTCGTGCAATTGCTGCTCTACAAGGAACCGATAATCGACGAAAAGCAGCAGCTAGTGATAGCTGTCACAAACCGCACTGAAAGAGCTAAAGGCTGCAATTCTGCTAGCGACGGCTGCGCTCAAACAACAGCCATCGCAAGCCAAGCTAAGGACCGATTCGTTCGCCTGGTTGTGCTGAGCTTTCTGGACGATGTGGCTGTTGATGTAGCTGCTGATACCCAGCTGCTTATGAATGCGTTAATAACTCAGCTTATTCAGCTGAACGTGACGCCCGACTGGCAAAAGCAGCACATGCTTAACAGTGACGGATACGGTAAGAAGCTGCGATCCTGGCAAGCGCTCTGCGTTATAAGCGCGCACATTACAAAGCCACAATTGACTTCACTGCTTGCCACCCTCCAGACTGCATTGGCAGTGCCCCAACTGCCGAGTGTCCGCTACTACATGGATCTGTTTGGCATGCGGATGGCCGTCCGGTATCCGAGCGAGATGTGTTCGGGCCTTTTGCTTCCCATGCTGCGCGATCCAAATTTAATGCCGCAAGTGAGCGCTTCGATACTGCTTGTGTCCACATATCTCGCTAAGTGCAAGCTGGAAAACAAAAGTCTCGATGTTGACGGTGGGAAATTGTTGGAAACGGTGCTGCCCTGGCTAAATTCGTCGCACGGATACACGCGTGTTCTGGCCCAATATTTGCTGACCAAAACGCTCCCCTCTTATATCCACCAGCTTCGACAGAGCTCCGGTAACATCGATACGCCGGGCCTTTTCTTTCTGGAAGGTACTGCGCGTTATTTAAGTAACAATAAGGAGTGCAAGCGAATGCTTCGTCGGCAAGCTCACCAGCTGGAAGAGTTTTCCCCTGACTATGAAAGCTCACTGCTTGGCATGCTTTGTTCGGGCTTTATAAGCGAGTTCGGAGAACTCGTGCCCCGAGATGAAGTGCTTCGTTTCAGTGAGCAACTCAAAGCTGCGATGAACGATTTGTACGCCCGATACCAACTCGAGAACTTTCCTTCAGCTCCACCGCAAGCGAAAACTGGCGAGAAATTGGCACCTGAGGCTGACGCTGCACGGAAATCGCTTACTGTGCAGCGCAAGATTGATACCACGGCACTGCTGCTTGAGGACAAAGCCTTGCCCGCCGCAATGCGAGCAGGTGTTGATGCAGCATTCTGTAGAGAAACTCTGAACGCTCGTCAACGACCTCGGCAGCCTATAATCATTTGCGCAAGCTTAGTCGACAAGGTCCCGAATTTGGCGGGACTGGCACGGACATGCGAGATCTTTAATGCTCAGAAGCTGGTCGTGCCCAACCTTTTCGTGACGAAGCAAGATCCCACTTTCGTGGCCGTGAGTGCCACGGCATGCAAATGGATGCCATTGGAAGAAGTTCAACCGCAAGGTGACAACCTGCACCAAGCTCTGCACCGCTGGAAGAGTGAAGGATATACCATTGTGGCCGTCGAGCAAACAGGTTCTAGTGTGAGTCTTGCAAGCTACTCGCTGCCACACAAGATGGTGCTCGTCTTGGGTCGAGAGAAAGAGGGTATCCCAGTGGACGTGTTACAGCTCGTTGACGTGTGTGTCGAAATCCCGCAATTCGGTCTGGTGCGATCCCTGAACGTGCACGTGAGTGGAGCATTGGTGCTGTGGGAGTACACGCAGCAGCAACTTTTGAGCGGAAACATCGACTCGATGCCTGTCCTTTGATTGTAATACTCAACGGATTTGCGAGTGTGACGTGGCGAGCGATACGGTAGACAAGCAATTGGGTCGTGGAACACCATTTCGTAAACAAAGCTGAATGTAACGTGGTGTCTCATTCGCGGATGCCCGTGGAAGATAGCTGCAAATTTGCACTCTCGGCTTTTGCTAAAGGAGTATAGTGGAGCCCGCTGAGTCTTTTCGTGAGCCTCGATTCATTTTCAAATGAGACCTCTTCGAGCTGAGCTCAAGGTTTATCGAGGAAGTTTGTCAGTTCTAACTCTTCTGCCGAAGCTGTCAACGATACGACTGCATGTTGCGGCCCTCAGACGTTACCCGACTGTTCATTTGTTTGCGGCTTGCAGCCTACCTACCAATGCATCGATACTAAATGAATGCTTCAAATCAAAGTCCAAGACTAGCTCGGTCGATAGTATGCACTTTGTCGTGGTGTAGTTCTTCTGTGCAAAGGGTCGTCGCATCTCGGTGCAAATGAGCTTCTAACTTGTGCGTTTCGTCCGCGACTTGCAGTCCCACGTCTCAAATTTGTCAAGATGCACAACAAGAAAGCGTAGTCGACAGATGCGGTGCTTGTTGTGCGGAGAAAGAAGATCAAGCCATTTTTAATCCGGCAAGCTTCATTACAAAGTGTCCTCTACTCTCCGCATTTTTTTTTTTACGAAGTGACGGTAAGGTCCGGAAAACGTCATCGGGCATCACTAATGCGCAATAAAATTGGACATGTTGGCTGGCATGGTTTCATCGTGTACAACTCATAGCATCTATCTACAGAGAACTTGCATAAGTTGGCCAGAAAAAGCAAGTCATTCAGTAGGCGTGTGACTGTACCTGGAAACCTGAACGTTACGTACATCAAAAGCCTCAGAGGTAAAATGATCTTTCAACATTACCAGTCACAAGTGCTGTGGGATCCGTACTGTCGCTCGATCCCTACGGACGTTTGGTCATCGAGAGCAGAATGTATCTTCTAGGAAACAAAAATGCGGGCCACTTCTTCAATAGTCACGATCACACTCAGCGGTGGTGCGCAAATTGCCTCGAGCTAGCGCATCTCACTGCCACACATCAAGTCTTTGTACTTATCGAAAAGGCAGACACATATGACTTATGCCAGAGATAACTAGCGAACGAATAGTGGACCACATGTTGACACCGTGCGCGAAGGTATGCGGAAAGTGCGACAGCATCGATGATACGTGTAAAGTAAGACTGCCCTGTCTTGCCGAGATAATTGCATGGATGCCAGCCCTCAGCTAGGCAATTGTGCGCTTGCTTCCTTGAAGACCGAGTGACGAATCTTGCGAAAAGCGAAGCATTTTCTGGTCTTGGATACTGTTCTTGATGAACCTGTCTGTTTCGTGGTCGTAAGGCAATGATCCCTTCGCTAGGTTCAAATCATCCACATCATCATTCCATCGGGCGAAAGTGCGGTGTCCCCGACGCCAAAATCAGACACGGTATTGTTCTGTGCTTCACCACCTGGAAATTGGGAGTCGTTTATGCAAATGAAAGCCAGGCGGCGCATCTCTTCGAAGGTGAACTTGTTGCGGTGACTGGATTGTGCCAATACGTTTACGCACAGCGATTTTTCAGAGCCAACACTGCTTGGTGCCAGCGAAAAAAGCGCGAGCGCTAGCGACCGTAAGTGTGGCCAATCTTCTGCGTCCATCTGCCAAAATTGCAGCGGTGAGCGATTGCCCTTCTCAAGCAGCTCCCACTTGTACGTGCGGTTGTTGCGCTGATTCTTAGCGTAGCTCACGTAATCAACATACTCTGCTGTCATTGCTCGCCTCCGTTCTTCATTAACGCCCGTGTCCTGGTCTGTCTCGGGAAAGTTAAAGATCAGCTCCTCAATCTGCTCGCGATAGTCACGCGTCATGGACTTGCCGATGTACCGTGGATCTAACAAAAATGCCAGACCATGAGCTTCGCTCAACACATACTGCCACCTCTCCGTGACTACCCTCTTGATGTATTCCAGTTCGACTGTCGTCAGACCAAAGACTGCATCAAAGTCAGTCAGCAGGTGTTTCGACTCAAAGTAGACCTCCGAAATAGGAGCACGATCGTCCTGAAACTTATACAGTATAAGCTCGATAGGTGTAAGGATTGTGATCGCCTTCTCCAATGTCATCTTCCTGTTAATACTCAGCATAAACTTCTTAATGCTTTGACGGATGACGCGTTGATTTTCCGATGACTCTGACGCCACAAATTTAGGGTCACTTACAATGGTCTGAAACACATCTTCCAACTGAATTAACACTCGGAATCGTGCAGCAAGTGTGCCCCACGACATTATGTGCGACACGTTCGCGAAATTCTTGAAAGTGTGAAGCAGCTGCGAGTCGAAGGTCTTATGCTTGGGCGCAAACTGATAGCTACTAAAGAACAACAACAATTCGTTGCAGTTCTTGTTGAGTTCAACAAGGTCTTGGAACGGAAAATCCATAGGAACTTGTGGTGTAACTCGCCTGGGATCATTGTCGAGTGATTTCTCGGGACCAAATATGTCCATGATCGCAAGATGTAGTGCGTGACAGATGCAGCCATAGAAAAACTTAGTCGGGTACTCTGCCTTCAGCATATCCCATGCTCGCGAGTGATACACGGTGCTACCAGTCACCACACCACTGACGTTGCTTACAATTGGCTGCATCATCCGTTTTATGTCTTGTGCGATCATGATCGCATTAAACTTTTTTTCATTTCCAGCAGCCTTTTCTGACTCCAAAAAGAACCTCTTTTCATTATTCACCGCCATGTACGTCACGTAAGCGTCTTCTGGGTTGGATGAGTGATACAAATTCAAATTCGACCACGCATCTCTCTTCAGGCACACTCGCGCAGAACTAGCACTGAGGTATCCCCACACCTGTTTATGCATCTTCTCATAGCACCGACTCATCAGCTCTCCTTCTAGCTTTTTCTTCTCTGGCAACTTAACGTTTGGCCGCAAGAGAGCCATCGCTCGGGCCAAGTGCGAATCTTCAAACGCCTCGAAGGTGATACCTGTCACGTACGCATGCATAGCCATGGCTTCTTCAAACATGTCAAGCTGCGTACTCGATAGCGGAGGGTGCTTTCCATTCCTGTCTTTCACTCCCGTCTCCGGTTTGTCCACCGAATCATCTTTCAGAGCCATGCCAACGTCCACCAGACTCTCCGACATGCTCTGTTGCATCGCCATTTGGTTCATCACTTGCGCGTGTTGCACGGCTGCTTGGTTGAGTGCAGCACTCGTACAGGTCATTGATCCATGCACGTGCTGCAGCTGGTCTTGCAAGGCTTGCTGCACGTCCATTTGGACTTGAGCTTGAGCCTGTGCTCCACTGTGCTGCAATTGCATCGGCGTCTCCGACTTGAGACGTTTCTTCATAGGACCTTTGGCGTTGATCTTTTGATTGTAAATTGGCAGCACGTCTGCAAACTGATGGACAAAGGAGAACTGGTGCTGCAGCTCCTGGAACTCGGGGCACTTTTTCAAATGGCGAATCGCCTGCTCCGACTTTTTATAGTACAACACTTGGTGCTTGCAGTGCTTGCAGGACGCTGAGTTGCGCCGCTGCGGGTCGGGTTCGTCTGTCAGGAGCTGCCAAATGAGACTCGGCGTGCGGCCTGGCTTCTTCTTCTTCGTCTTCGTTTTGAGTATCGACGTCGTTGGCGGTGCTGGCGGCTGGGACGGCGCCGACGTCGCAAGCGGCAACATGTTGTCAAGTGCTGGCGGCGAGGAGGTCATTGGGTGGAAAGGCAAGTTGAAGTGGTCCTGTCCTCTCTTGATTGGCAAGGAGGGGGCTAGGCCGAAGGTTTTTCGCTTGACACGTTCGCTACTATGGAGAGTTAGCGCCGAAGGTTTTTCTTCACTGCGAGTTGTGCAAGCGTTGGTTGGGGCGAATTTGGGCCACGTTCGTGCGACATTCACCACGCGTGCCACGCAACCACCCAGATGTATTGATCACTTCATTTGATTGAAAGCTTTTTGTACCTGAAAGATGCTCTTACTGTTGGTTTAAACAGTTTCTACAGGTGGGGACAAAGTTCGGCACATACTGCTAAATTATAAAGCCGAAATGGGTTCTGTAATATGGTGGATTGAAATTAATGTCGACTCGCATCGACACAGTATGCAACAATTAGACATGTTGCACAAAGTCGACAAAATGCTCAATTACCATGCTCGACAATAAATACTGAAAGAGCAGCTAGCAGATGGGGTAGCAGATACTATGCGAACAACAGTTTTATGTCTTTCTTGGCGTTTTATGCACTCCTGTCGTCTACAGATGGTCGACATTTGCTGCGGCAAACGTACAGTAACATCAAATGTAAGAGCGTCGCCAACAGTGTAGTGAGTAGTCCTTTTTTCGAATATCAGTTGCAAATAAGACTTTATTGTAATTAGTATGACGTTAAACAAAGTCTTTGATGGCTAAAAATGGTCGATTAAGTGGCGGTCGCATTTGTTTATTTTCTGGCTTAAGGTTAAGCTAATAATTTTTAAAATTGGAAGTATCATTTGAGCTTCGTCGCGGACATCAAATCTTTCTAATCTTTGTAAATATCCAGAGCATACGACATGGTATCAATCTAATTTAATGACTTAATCGTCTTTGATATTTTAAGACAATGACATTCTGGCCTAAACAGATTTTTGGGCATCGACAAAAATTAAAATGTAGGCCTACTACCAAAAGGACAAATTTCTAGAGTTGTTCTTAAATTTATTTCGCAGTTGTGGCACACAAATATACAATCAAAAATACTATTTTTGATTGGACAGAAAGTAAATTTGTACTGACTACTGGAGATGTCGTAAGCAATTTACATACGCAACGGTAAAATGTGCTTCGACCAAATAATGTTATCGAAAAATTAATAAGTAACGCCGCATCGGACAATAACGATGACTGATTTACGATAAAAACAATGAGTAGAGAATAATAGAATACAGGAAGGATAAGGCCACGTTATCCGCAGACATCTCGCGCATTATAGCGATCATTTTAAAGGGCTCCTCTAGCCTTTGAACGTTTGTATCTAGCAATCAGCACGCTAAAGCCTCCGGATGTTTTCCTGAGGTCATCTGTGTTGAAAGCTAAACGTGTTGCAGATGCAGCAACGAATTTGCTGCATGAGCAATGAATTTAGCTTGGCGAGTTGAACAGTTGTATACGGAAATGCGTGGTCTACAGAACAGTTTTTGGGCGGACGCCGCGTTCCATATTTAGGTATACGCCGATGGACTAAATAACGCTTACGCTTATAATAATCGAAGACTGTGTTCGTTTTTCGCATCCCTATGTTATGTCTATTGTGCATATTTGAAGACTGTGTTCGTTGTTCGCATCCCTGTGTTTTGTCCGTTGTGACAGCCCAACAGGATCTAAACGTTTTAAAGCCCAATGGCGGACTTTGATCACAGTTTCGCACTTGACGAAAATGTCAATCCGTCTCCTGAGGCTGCTGCTGGCTCTCCAAAGGCCAGGGTGGTAGACTAAAAAAGAAGCAGAAAAGAAAGGTAAGAAGTGATGTGGAGGTGTGCCAGCAGTCATCATTAGAGGGAAAGCAAAACGATCAAGATGATCAGGGTGAAATGATGGAGCTCATTTGTGGGCCGACTCGTTGTTGGGTTACCTATAGGAGTCGCAGACTGAGCTCGGGACGATACTGTGACGGGCACAAAGGCTAAAAGAGTCTCAGAAGATCGCTTAGTAAGCTTAGACGAGAACCGATTTTTGTTTGGGTCAGCTTTGAGGAGAGGTTCAAGGATGCACTCGTATTCGAGGAAAGTAGAGAGAAGGGTGTATCGAGATGTACACCCACATTTTAGAGGTGAGTGCCAGACTGGATATAGTGTAAATGATTTTGGCCCGTCAGAGATTCTACGTTGCTGCTGACGGATGAGGACCGATGTCGGAGGTATATAAAAAGGTGGGAATATGTATGCCCGGACCTGATCTCCATGGCATTCGAGCTGCAACATTTATGCCCGGACCTGGTCCGGATATGTATGCCCGGACCCGATCTTCATGGCATTCGAGCTGCGTTCAGGTACCTCGACGTGCTGCAACAAGAACTAAAAGTAAAACTGTTTGACATTAAAGAAGTTGTATCAGGGCCTAGCATATGGTTTCTTACGATAAGAAAGCCGATTTGAAAGACAGATTGTTCTTGCTCAATCGGCGTGTCGTTTACCTTGGATTTCTTCGGACCTAATCTCAAAAGGATTGGTCGAGCGGAACTTCAGCAGGTAGATCGACGCCTGGTGTAATATAACACCTACTATCCAGCATTTTGCAACGAGTATGCTGCAGGCGTTTGAAACTCACATTACTCTATTTTAAACGATGGATCTGTTTACGCGTCCTAAATACTCAAGAAAAGATTGGGGTAGACCACCTACCGTATTTGAACGAAGTGGCTGAAGCATCGGGTGGTGCATTGAAACACCTTGTTTTACACGAAATTATTCAATGCGCTTCCCATTACATGCGAATTGTGTTGATGCCAAGGGTGGATGATCGAACAAACGACTATCTTTCAACAGGGGAAGAGTTAGCTTACTTTGCGTGAGCGAGGGAGACAGGTGCAGTATAAAACGAATAGGAATTTCTTTTCATTTTTATTTAAGACCATCGGTTTGAAGATACAAAACAATACTATATCTGTATGAAAGCGAGACAGCCAAAAGCAACCTTTTCGAAAAAATCTTGGGCCAGAAAGTGATGATGCAATCTCACATTCATTATTTGAGATAATTTGAAAGACGATAGATATACACTGTGTTCTGGTCGGTGACGAAACTCGAATCGACGACTTGGACGATACTGATGGCATGTGCGTGCGACCATCTGGACAAATGCAAAGAAGTAACAAGAAGAATGCGTAGCTCTGACTGTCACGCTTCTAAGTTAACAAATAATTGAGAAACTAACTAACGTGTACTACGCCAAAGGGTCAAATCACAATTTAGTTTCGTAAATAATACTGGACAAAAAAGGTACACCATCACAAAGCGTAAAACAAAGCGTGTTCCGGCTGGCAATGATGGAAGGGAAGTAGATTTTGGCGTCCACTTGATAACACGTGCTCTTGTTGTTACGGCCGTAGTGCAACAAAACGTGACAAGTTCGCGAAGGGACTATGGCTGCAGTTGGTGGATGTTGTGTAGAATCCGATGCCATTTGCGCGCAGTTCACCAATTCCCACGTTAGACTTTACCGCCGATTTGAGCACTTTATTACGATGCAGTTAAGCGGCTGCCTAAGGATCCTGCTTCTGGGATTGATGCCACAGATATCATGCGCGTAAGCTGCATGGCCTGTGCTCAAGGTAAACAAAGCAGAAACCTCCAAGCCGATACTTAATCCGGTGTGCACTCGTCTATTGATCGAGTGGGTGGGGTAGTCTGCTGTAATTTAAATGATACAAGAGATTGGATATAAAAAAGTGCCTGGTGACTTTCGTGGATCACAAAAAGAACTACGTGAAAAATCTGGTCAAGACTTGAGATGCCGCTTCAAATCGATTCGAGCACTTTTCGTGTAATATGAGAATAGCTTAGATTGTAGAATCCGTATTCTACTGACCGGGTGGGGTGGGTAGTACAAACATATCGATTCATTTTGCAAAAATACCGATGTGGCCAGGCAACAGGTGAGGCAAGGAATCATGCGAGCAATGGTAACGCCCAAAGAATGCACCTTACAGTTGTGAACATGTCTTCGTGCGGATCTTCGTGTGCAGATTCCTGCTGCATTTTTGACGAGACGCATCACAGTATACAGTATTCATTATTAACCGCTCACCTAGAAGCATTAACTCTGGCAAATTGTCATCTCTAATATCTCCAACTTAAACACCTGCACTGGATGAGATCGTCGTTTTTTGGATCTACTTACATGGAATGCTGCGATCCACGAAAGCAAAATGTAGGCTCAGCAAAGTCAGCGCAGTTTCATTTATTAGAAATGATGATACTGACAATAGATATCGAGATTACATGCCAAAGGACCAAGTGGTAATGAATACGCAGATTTTAAAGGATGTTGAGACGCAAAGCGACAAGCCGAACAAGCAAGTCTAGAGAAATGTTGCGCAAGTGTCGAAAGGTGCACAAAAGACATCAACATAAGTAAAGGTACAATTGCGGAATATGGGAATCGCGTAATCCAAAAAAAAGAGTCGATTTGAAAGAGGAAAATATAGTTTACACGCGCTCAACAGGTAGAAAGTGCAAAGAATAATGGATAAGAACAAAGTGCCAAAGTTGATGCAGGTGTAAAAAATTGATGCGGGAGGCGGACCCAATGACCTTTGGTCAGGCAGTGCGATGCCCTTAAAAGGAACAGCGTAAAGCGGAGCTCTGTAAAAAATTGCGCGCTTTAAGAAATTGGAGCCTAAACTCAGTGCGTTTACCCTATAGAACGAATGGCCTTTGTACAAAATGGGTGTGCAATACCAAAATGAATGCTAATGATGATATCGAGAGTTTCAAGACCATGTTGTTAGCGTGTGGAAATGATCCGATTTTAACTTCAGATAGAAACATCATTCTAGCAGTGGCTATTTTTAAATACAATTGTTAATTTATTAATTTCCCTAGTTCGAAAATGACTTGTGCCAGCCAAATACAGACCCATTCCAAACGCCTACGTCAAGTCCAAAAATCGGATAAATCATTTAACTGCGCATTTTTAAAGGTAAATGAAATCAAGCAAGAGATGCTGTACAGCTGGATGCAAGACGTGTGTTGGAACGTACTTTGGGGCCGAACAAGTCTCTAAACGATCTTTAAGCAAGATGGGATTCTGTGGATCGAATTACTTTACAATAAGCTTGTCAATTTAGTTGCTTCGCATTTTTCAAACGACATGTGTGCGTATCAGAAACCTTTGAGGGAGGAAACTTTTGCGGTTGGTGTTTACGTAGATGATCTACTAGCAAAAGCAACGAATGCAATTATCGTGGACAATTTTTTCGTTGGTTTTAAGTACCTTAGGAGGTGACGAAACTCTTGAGGATGCGCCATCTCGTATGCTGAAAATGGATATCATACCGACCGAGTAGTGAATCCAAGATATTGTTATTGAAAAATGGATCAGAAGGGGCACACGGTGTTCGCACGCCTATCGGTCGAAGTAGTGAACGAGATCAACTTGGTAAATGAATAGCTGTCAATCTATTATTTGGATGAAAAGATAACAGTTAAGCGTGTTCAATCGCTGGTAAGAAGTTTGCTTTAGATGTCGCGCTGTAGCAGACCGGACATATCCTACGCGGTACACCCAGCTCTAGAAAAACACACTGTCCAATTATGGGCGACTGGAACCTAGGAAAAAGGATTGCACAATAGTCGCAAGGAAGAAAGTCGCTGCTTTACAATTAAGGCAAGATAACATTGGCCTTCATTTAGTAAGCATTAATGGGTATAGTGACGCTGATTTCGCTGCTAATAAAATGATCAGAAAGGCCAATCACCGGCGATTAAATGTAGCACTATCGATAAAATGCCGGTGATATGGCTCGTGAAAAAACCAGTTAGTTTGTCGTTATCGACAGCAGAGGCTGAATTTACTGCAGCGTCAGTGATGGTAACTCAGATGCTTAGATTGCAAGAGCTACTTGGAGAAATTGGAGTAAAGTGTAGATAGCCCACGTTTCTCTGCCTGGATAACTATTCATCTCTCTACATCCTAAAGAATACGGAGAGTCATCTTAGTGGAAGCATGTGAACGTGTGCGTTAAATATTTGAGCTCACATGCTAGAAGTGTTATAATAGCCCCCAGCTTTTTGATAAGCTCTTGTATGCCAGCTACTTTAACGAAATTATGGCTCCAGCACCCATACTGAAAGAGTTAAACTGTTCTGTTGGGGATAAGCATAACGTCGTCGATATGGAATTGAATAATCGATTGAAATGAAGCTTGTGAAACATACTTAGTTGATGCATCACGCGTGAATTAATTTCATTTTGATAGCGTAATAAGAACCTACATATGAATGCTTTCATGAGGCACTTTTGACAAGAAATAACGGAAAAAGAAGGAGGACCACAATGGAGGAGTGTCTAGATCTGGAAGCGTTGAAGATACAACGACGTAGTTGCTGCATGGGCGACAACACTAAGCTTGGCAAGTTAAACAGTTCTATGAGAAAGTGCGTGGCCTACATCACATATATTGTGTTGAGAGCAGCGTTTCTAATTAAGTGCTTTTGCCAATGAACTAAATACCGCTTTCTCTTATAAAATTTGGAGACCGTGTCCGCTGTTTTCGTCCAGTGTTGTGTCTGTTGCGACAGCGACAAGATTTAAACAGTAATATATTGTGTCGGTTCTGGTCCGGTCTTTGATCATGTCATGATACCTATTTCAAGGCTTATAGGTGACGTTGCGAGCAGCTGAATAAATACATGTTCGCCGGTAAAAGCGATACTTTGCTTCCCCGTTATAGTGATTTTGTAGCTGCTGCCATTTTTCTCGATTTTAGCTGACGA